GCTCAGCTCATCCGGGGGGGGGGGGGCGTTCCTGGGACCACACATGCACTTGCACACTTGCTTTCCACTGTTAAGGTGGAGCGTGGCTTAGGAGTCCATCTTTTGAAGAACAGCCCCAGGGTCTGACTTGCCATAAGTCTGGGAACAAGGGCCAGACAGAAGGAGGCCTGGCTGTGTCCAGCCTGCTCCTTCTCTGTACTCTACTTATTGAGGTTCTCAGTTCTGCTCTGCTCCCGTTCCAGTCCCCGAACCCTTTAAGAAATGGCCAATGCCCTAAATATTTCCCTACCCTATCCCTACAACAGAAAAAAAAAATTTAAAGGATCTTTCTCTTTTGGGTGGTGGTGGTGGTTGTTAATTTCAAGAATTTAGAAGAATCTTTGCTCCGATCAATCCACTGTCTCCTGAGTGTTATTTGTGGGAACAAGGAAAAATTAAGAGATCTAGGAGCCTTGGTCTGCTTTTTCAAACAGCTGAGGGGAGGGAACCCGTGAGCCATGGCTTAAACCCACCTTCGAAGTTGAAGCCAGCTCCCTTCCAAGAGGCCACAGGGGAGAGGGAAGAGAATGGGTCAGGAGTGGCCAAGAGGAGGCCAGCCTCACAGACCTGACCAGAATCACCATCCCCTAAATGAGGTTGCCTGGGGCATCTTCACCAGGGTTCTTGATCTCTCGTCAGGCCCCATCCCAGCTTTAGTTAAAACGTCCTAGGGTTTTTGGTTGGTTGGTTGGTTGTTGGAATCAAGGAAAATGGTCCGACTGGACCCCTTATCTCTCTCTCTGCAGACTGCTTCATGGACTCTTTGCTGTTGACGTTGATCTCCTGGTAGCATGACTTTTGTAAGACACAGCCTTTCTGTATCAAGCCCCTGTCTAACCTACGACCCCAGAGTGACTGACGGCTGTGTATTTCTGTAGAATGCTGTAGAATCTGGTTTTAGTTGAGTCTTTACATTTAGAATTTGAAAGGATTAAACACATACACACACATTTCTCATGTGCTTTGTAGCTTAAAAAAAAAGGAAAAAGGAAAACTCACCATTTCATGCATTTTTCTTTTGATTTTGAAATAAGCCTACACATTAGCACTCATGCTCTCCCCAACCCAGCTCATGCCAGAGGTGCTGGGCGCACCTGTGGCCAGGAGCTCCTGGATGGCATATTGATGCTGGTGGGAGCCCACTGGGGCTGGGCTTTCCAGAAGGCCACACTGGCCACTGTAAACCCGAGCCTGTCAGCTACTCAGATACCACAGATACACCAAGCAATGGCAGGCCTGCTCTCCCAGCCCCCCGCCACCCCAGCCCCACCCTCACTCCAAGTTTGTATAGCAAAAGCACAGCTCTGGCCAGTAGCTGCCAAAAAGAACACCTGTCATCTACAGATCCTTAACCCTGTAAAAACCCTGCTGACCTCCTAAATGCCCCTGGTCATTTTTGTGTTTCTTTTTGTTGTTGTTTTGTCCTGATGAGTACTGCGTATCACATAGACACATCAGCTCTCATGGGCTCTGGGAAATGGGGTTGTGGTTTTTTTCCTTTGCATCTCAGATCCCAGTCTTTCAGGCAGAAGTCCTTCCCCCCCATGTGTGTGCCCAATTTTCCTTTGTTTCAGTGATCTGTGTCCTCCTCCCCCCCCCCACTTTCTCTCTCCTTCTATCTCTCTCTCCTGTGGGGATGTTTGTGCTGCAGATTTAAAAAAAAGAACAAAAAGTTTTTAAATACCACGAGATGGAAAAACACACACACAAAATTAAAATGATGGAATGTAGTGTTTACATTAAAGCCACCGTTTTCATGATCAGTCCTATGTCATTTCTACTTGACTAGTATCCAATCCCAGACCTCTTCACAGTTTCACTTTTAAAAATAATATTTGCTGAAAACCAGTCACAGCCATTCCCAATAAAGAGGAGGCAAGAAGATAAAACACACAAAAAAATTTAAAAATACAGAAAAAAAAAACTTGAAAACACAAAAGAAAAAAAAAAAAGCCCACGGGTCTTTCTAAGCCTTTCTATTCCCAATCGGTGAGGTTTCTGTGATTATCTTACACACTGCCAGTCTACTTCTCTGACTAATTGAAAAATTCATGTGTAGCTCAATAAAGAGAATGTTTGTCTGTACTGGAGTCTCTCACCCTCTGCCTTGCAGGCGACGATTACTTGTTACTTGGGGTGGGCAGCAAAGGGAAGGAGGGGCTTGACTTGGCCACAAACACTTGGAAGCTGACTGGTAAGGCCTCCCACTAGAATTCCTGCCAGCAGGGGAGCCAGTGGGTGGGATTGCAAGAGCACCATCCATCCCCAAGATGGCCTCTTCCTTCTGGCTCCCCACTCCTCACACTCTGCTGCTTTTGTCAGCTCCTGGTAGAACTAAAAACTAGGAAGGGAAAAGTGGAGGGAGGGTCAGCCATTCCTTCTTGTTTTCTCTACCCACTTTCTAAGGTCACGTGGCCTGAAACCTCTGTGCAGCGTTGGGGTGGTGTCAGTCATCCACTCCTTTGCTGAGGACAAGCTTTGGACATTGGCCAGGAAGGCTTCCCACAGCTTTGCCTTCCTGCAGGCCAAAGAAGGAACCAGGTGGCCCAGACTGGGGCACGGGCTCTGAGAGCTCTCCAGGCTGTTGGCTACCACTGCTCCCCTAATCTACCTTGTTTTGCTATAAGCAAAACTGCGACTTTATTAGTTAGATAGGGGGGGATGTGGGGGGGGGGTGTCTTGTGAACATTTTGGCCCCAGTTGGTCTTGTAATATGTGATCCTATTGCTTGCCTCCTGAGTAGCTAGGATTACAGACATGAGCCACCCACACAGCTCCTTTCCCAACTAACAAATGAGTTCTGTAGGTAAAATAAACACAAGTGTCTTGGCCTTATTTTTCTTCTTCCCTGCCCCTGTGTTGGGCACGGAATCCAGGACTTCATACATGCTAGGCAACACTGCAGATATGGAATGCTGCACAATTTTGCGTGTCATCATCGTGCAGGGGCCATGCTAATCTTCTCTGTTTCATTCCAATTTTAGGATACATGCTAGGCAAGTTCTCTACCACTGAATTCACATCAGCACTGCGTTATCTGTTTGGAGGAAGGTTAGGAAACATCTTTTGGAAAGCATACAAAGAAAAGATAAAGTAGGACAAGAAGTGTGTGGGCAGAGCCTACATTATTATTTTTTTTAATGCCATACAAGTGGCTCTTAACATGCAGCCAGATCAGAAATATTGCTTAATCCAATAGCAAGCAGATATATCAAGAGCTTTCCAGGGCAGACAGATCAGGAGCAACCCCATGACATGGCACACCTGCTGCAAGGCCATGGGTCGCATCAACACATGTGCTGCTCCCCTCGTTTGCACCTTCTCTCCCAGTCACAGCACCTGTGGGGAGGCAGGCCCAGGAGGCCCTCTGAGCACCCAGGATTCACAACACCAGTGAAAGCTGCCACATAAACATCTTTGTTTTTTGGCCGGTCATGGGGCTTGAACTCTGGGCCTGGGCACTGGCCCTGAACTCTTTAGCTCAAGGCTAGCACTCTACCATTTGAGCCACAGCACCACTTCTAGCCTTTTCTGCTTATGTGGTGCTGAGGAATCAAACCCAGGGCCTCATGCATGCAAGGCAAGCATTCTACCACTCAGCCACCTTCCCAGCCCATAAACATCATTTCTTTGGTGCATAAAGCCTCAAGATTTGAAGGGGGAGGTGAAGAACAAGGTCAATGAAAGAGCCCACCCCAGCCTTGGGTTCTGTCTGCTCCCAGAAGCCCAATGTTGTAGGGCTGGGCACAAGGCAAGGCTGCGTAACCCTGCAGCCAGCTGGGTCAGTGAAGGAAGTATGAAGGTCCCTATGTCACTGCCCTGTCCTTAGCACTTCCCCCAAGAAGCAGTGGGAAAAGAAAAAGAAAAGCCATTTGAGAGTGCAAGGCCTGGGGCTCAAGTCCCCAGCACTGGCAGTTGGGGGGAGGGAGAATAGTTTTTGTAATACTCAGAATCCTTAGCTGCACAGGTGGAACCTTAGGAATAAAACCTGGAAACTCCTGGGACATTTTAAGCCATTTAAGTAAGGAACCTGTGCCTGATCACTACTGTAATCAGTGTTTCTCTTGACATATCTGACACGGAAGAACACGTACAATTAATGTTAACCTTGTAATTGTGTACAGATGCAAAGTACAATGTAACTCATGAAAGTGAGATGCGCATCTTCCCTACTTACCTGGACGCATACAGGTAGACACAAGGCACTGCCTTTGGTGTGAAACAAGAAACAAGACTCCCTAGCTCAGAAGGTTGAAAAACTATCAAACCCAAATGGCAGACAGGCTGAATTTCAAGTCAGCATCTCTGCAAGACGCTGCCTCTGCTCCAGCTGCACACAACACGCTACAAGAGTTTGCTTTTTATTATTGTTGTCTTACAATAAAAACAAAAGCTCTCAGCAAAACAAAACCAACTTTCAAAAAAATCACAGAAACTTACTAATGGCATTTCAAGGTAAGGCTTTTGAAAGATTTATTGAAATAAATTATTTCTGCCTACATATTTACCTATCATCCTTTTTCTCAATTGTCAACATCCTAAAATCTTCCAGTTATTTAAAATACATTTTACTTTGCCAATCATTTTAGGTAATACTGGATTCTTCCCAAAAAGACTACCATAAAACTTGCTTTCAAACATTAAAAAAAAAAATCCAATGGGACATAAAACTGACTGTGTGACCTCGGACTGTGGCTCAAACCCTTGAAGTTAACTGGGAAGAACTGGAGAGATGGGATCTAGTCTGCTCACTGCATGTGGTTCCACACCTTGTTTTTCTATGTCTAATTGAACCTGCAGGAAAAAGCTCCAGGGCAGAACAAGGAACCTTGTTTCCCCAACAGCGCCCTCCGAAACGTACTCTGCCCTCTCACAAGGCCCACATCTTCTCCAAGGACCAAACCCACAGGCTTTGGCGCTGCCTCTTTTAGTTTACCAATGAATTAAAACCACAACCAAAGTTTGCTGCTTAACCTCTTCTCATATTCACAGGGGGCGGGAAGAAAGCCAGGAGGAGAGGAGGAGACCCCTGGGGGAGCATGTGCAATGCTGGAGCACCAGTGTGAACTGAAGCAAACCCAGCTGCAGGTGGGGCTCGGTTAGTCCAATGTCAGGATGGAAAATGATCTCTCACTCTGAAGTCCCCGCTCCTTCAGCTCCAGGTAGCAAACCAGAAATTCTTTATAGAAGATGCCCTGCTGACTCTGAGGTTCAGGAACCTGCAGGTCTGGCCTCTGGAACATTCTGATGCTTGCTCACAAAGGAGAGCATTCGGCTGCCGATGGTGTCCTGGGGGGAGGCGGTGGGATCCCGTGCCCCTCGTCACTGCTGTCGGGCACACAAACACTTCCTGAGATGCCAAGGTGCCAGCATCAGCCGTGAGTTAGGACAAGGCAGTAATGGAAGGTGCTGCTGAGGGCGGTGGTCGCCCACTTGCCCTCCCCTGTGCCCCGCCCCCATGAAGTCCAGTCAAGGCCAGAAGAGGTCATGCCTAGAGTTAAAATGTGCAGTGTTTCTAAGGGAAGAGAAACGTCACATAGAAAGTATTACAAAGGAGGATTACTTGTCAGCTGTCCAAACACTATTAAGACCACATGCTTTATACAGCGGCAATGCAGTCGAGCCCGAGTCTAGGGCAGGCGGAACCCAGGCCAGCCTCTTCTGGTCTGGCCCTGGGCTCGGGAGGAGGCAGCTGAGAAGGGAGGGACGCTAGGAGGTCTGCTGCTTCTGAAGTCTCCGTTCAGCAGCGGCAGCCAGCATCCTCCGGCGCAGGGTCACAGGGTCGGAGGACGTGCCCTCTGAAGGGAGGAGGCTCTCAGAGGCTGAGTCATCTTCAGAGGTCTTGTTCAAGAATCGCCTACAAAAAAAAAAAAAAAAAGCCCCATGGGAGAGGTGGGACGGTGGAGCGAACTACGTGTCCTTGCCAGGCGCCTCCAACAAGCTGGGCTCAGGACCAGCCCGTGGGAAATGGCTGTGGCCTCTCCATGTGGGCTGGGGTGGGCCTCGGCAGTGGAGAGCTTACCAAGCAAGCCAGAGGCCTAGGTTCATCCTAGCACTGCAAAAATGAAAACAAATGGAAGTAAAGGGTACTGCTCTGGGCAGATGCACCCACGTGCCATGGACAGGCCCATCACCGGCTATTCGGCCCCCTCTCCGGTGTCTATCCCCTCCACAGTCACAGCCCAGCCCCTCAGCTGCAGGTGTGTGTAGAACACAAACCTCCCAATGAGCAGGTCACTGGCCCTGTCCTCTAGAACTGAAATGAGAAGTGTCAGTCCAACCAGAGAAATGCTTCAGGCTCAGGCTGCATGGACGGTGGCACTCAGGTGGGCAGTGTGGGCTCATGCTGTTGGCCTTAAGGGCAGGTGGTCAAAGGGGGAAGACTTGAAAGCCAGACCCAGGCTAGTAGTCGCCTCCCCTAAACCTCAGATTCTTAAGAGAAACAACTGTCACATGGGCATGTCAGGGATCCTTCTCTGAGTTAAGAGAATGAAGAATTCACACACTGGCACATAAGTGCCACCTGTGCAAGTGTGGCTGCAGCGGGCTCAGGAGACAAGCCACCAGCAGCCACTGGAAGCGCCAGTCACCAGAGGTTAGCAGCCACTGGAAGGTACGAGCCGCACTGACAGCCAGATTCTCTGTTATTTCAAGACAGGTTTGAAATCGTTGTGTTTAAAAAGATGTGGGCCCATTGTGAAAGCATCCAGCGGCCACTGCTTCTGACCTGGAGTCCAGCCCGGGGGCTAGAGAATCAACTTACTTCCGCGCCTGCTGCAGCAGGTCGTCCTTACGCTGCACTAACATGCGCTGTCTCTCATCGGCAGATTTGGAGAAACGGCTGCCCCGAGCCTCAAAGTCCTCCACCTCATTGGGCTCCACTTCCACCTCGCTGAAGTCCAAGGTCTCCTCCAGACGAGGGCTGAGGTCCAGTGGCACACGTTCGGTCTGGATGGAGGGTGGCAGTTATGAGTACAGACGCATACCTAAGCAGAATCCCCTCTGCAAGCTCCTTCTGGAACATGAGGGCTGCTGCCAGCCAGAAAGCCAAAGCTAGGTGCCTCAAACGTCTGTACCATGGACACCTGACTCAGGGGGGCAGGCCTGCTAAGAATGGCTTATGTGTCCCTAAGATCATGACGCTCAGGATTAGTGCAGTAAGTAAAGGACTGCTAGTACAGAACCTTAAGCACTTCAAGCTATACTCTAGTAATACACAACAAAGTAGTCAGCCAATTTGCATCTGGGAGATTTCTGTTCAATTCTAATTGTTCAAGATTTTAAACATGTCTAAGCACATCTACCGCACCAATTTTATACCCTCACTTTGAAAACAGAGGCACACAGGCTGAAAGGGCAAATGAGAAAAATCTTTTTTAAAAAATGCAGATATAATGGATTGTGTTTCTTGTATTAAAATGAGATATATTCTTGATCTGGGCTGAAACTCCAAAGGCCATGATGACGCCCAGGCACCCCAAATCCCTAAGCAGATACCCAGTCATCTGTGCTACTTGTGCTCCCTGACACAGACCAACCAGGCAGCGGAAGCTCACCGCCAGCCCACCACGAAGCAGGGAGGCTGCGTCATTTAAGAGTTCTTGGGGATGGATACTGTGCTGTCACCTCCCTTACTTCCTGCTCTCCCTGCCTTCAGCCAAGCCCAAGAGAGGACTATGAGAGTCATGAGGGGAGCCACAGCTTAGGAACACATAGACTGATGATTACATATCTAAGACATCTAGAAGAAACTCTGTGGAAGATAAGAAACAGTGCCGGGAGAGGCTGTGCTGGAACAAGTGCCACATCCACTGGCTGCAGCCATGTATGTGTCCTGAGGCTTTGCAAGCGGCCTGTAAGGACAACTTGGAGGCACTGAAGACTGACAGCCCCAAAGGACTGCTTGGAGGATGAATATGTCGCCAGAAAGGCAAGGCTGCTCATCAAGAGCCAGCCCAAGTCTGAGTGGTTTTTATGGTTTCCTGTTTTCAGGGATGCCAGCCATGCTATCACTTGTCAGTGGAAGTCACAGCTTCCAGAAGAGCACAACCCGTTGAGAGGAAGAAGGCAGCATGGCCATTGACTGGAGCCTCATACATAGGAAGCCCTAACCACAAAAGCACAAGGGTAGGGATGTTTGACTTTTACGTTCTTACTGTCCTAAGGAAGCACGGTGGAAGTGTGGCCATGTGTGAAGCACATCGGCACTATAGCTGAGGGCCAAGAGCTTGGAGCCCAGCTGTGGGGCTCAAGGGAGGGAGGCAGCCATTTTGTGGCCACAAGGCACAGCAGCTACTTCTCCAAAAGGGATACCTACTTTCCCATCCCACCCAGATCAGGAGGTCTGGTATTTTGCAAAGTACACAGGAAATAGCTGGAAATTCTAAGGTAGACGAATGAGCAATGGTGACTTGGTGCCCCCTAGGGAGCACCCAGTCCACCCCATCCCAGTCTGGCTGGGTCCAGCCCCTTGATGCCCAGGACAGCTTCCTTCTGCCCTTCATGTGTTCTCCCTCAAGCTCCATGGAACTGGACTGGCCCAGCAGCAGTGCCTAGAGCAGGTTGAAGAGTAGGATGGAAATAGACCCGCCACTGGCTGAGTTCAATTTGGAACTTTGGCAGAGAGGCAGACAGAGCACATGGCCTTCCTTCCTATGTTTGCCCCCTGACAAAGGTCAGCACTACCAGAACCATGCTGCCCCCTCAGCTGTCCACACCCCTTACTGTGCTGCTCTCACCTGCGCAGAGGCTTCTCCCTCTTCCTGGTCAGTGCTGGGCCTTTCCACTGTGCTGTTCAGTGCAGGTCTAATGCTATCTGACCGCTGAAAGAGAAACAGCAAGGTCACTCAAAATGAGGTAACACACATGGGAAAAACCTGAGGCACACAAGGAGCTACAGCCCCAACATAGCCTGCAACTTACAGCACCACAGCACCAAAGAAATGAAAATAGTGGAACAATTAAAGGCAAGACAAAGAAGCCTGAGGCGTAAATTAGAGTTTCAGATTTGAGACTCAGCAACTGGCTCCACCTTCAGTTCTTCTTTCAAGAATATGAAGTTAACCAGGTGCTGGTGGCTCACGCCTGTAATCCTAGCTACTCAGGAGGCTAAGATCTGAGGATCACGGTTCGAACCTAGTCCAGGCAGGAAAGGCCATGAGATTTTTATTCTCTAATTAACCATCAGAAAACCAGAAGAGTTACAGTGGCTCAAAGTGGTAGAGCACTAGCCTTGAGCAAAAGAGTTCAGGGACAGAGCCCAGACCCTGAGTTCATGCCTCATGACCACCATCACTGACAAAAAATAGGAAGTGCATAACAAAACTAATGACAGCAGGTAACCAACACTGGGTGAAGCTGACAGCCTGGGCAACACCATCACATTAGCTTTCCTAACACCTACAACACAGAGTGTGCTATTCTCACTTTAGCCTACAGGCCAGTTTCCATGGGACTTCCCGTGGTCTCTCCCTGGCTACATGAAGTAAGTTTGCCAGACAGCAGTCAGGTCCAACAGTGACACTGGGGACCCAGAGCTAACACCTCAGCCCATCCGACATCATAGGCTACAATCTCAGCCTCTCCAGACTCAACCCTAGAAAGTTTATTGGTAGATTTCGGAATATTTTTGCATACTGAAAATGAATATTTTTTGGCATACTATTCCCTGGTCAAATATAAAGGCTTGTCAGAAAGCTTGTCTAGTTAACATTTGTTATAGCCAGATGATTAGGCTGTTTTCTTTAAAAAAAAAAAAAAAAAAAAAGCAAAGTCTAGAGAATATGAACTGTAGCTAACCGACTCGACACCCCCTAGGGAGGGACAGGTGCCAATACCTGCTGGTCTGGAGCTCCACCACCACAGACCTGAGCCATACTCGCCTTTCCTCCTAGCTTGATGAAATCATTTCACTACAGTCTTGCTCATTCATGTACTCATTTTATCCATGGCTGCTTTAGCTGGGTTAAATAGTCCCAGGGCCTAAAGTAATCATGATCTGCCCTGTACATGAAAAGTTGTCAATCCCTTCCTAGCAGGAGCCAAGACATCACCTACTAGACTGGCGAGGGCAGGCTGGTTTGATGTGCATATCTGTGTCTGTACCGGTGGGTCTCCTCTCATTATTGGGGCAAAGTGAAGGTCTTTACAGAACCTCTTCATTGTATCATACATAAATTACATTCAGTTATGAAAGTAACCAAAAAGTGAATCTTTGTGAAAACAGAGTCTGTCACAATGCCAGCCCTGGTTTTACCTGTGTGGGAAAAGGTACTTGAATCCGTCCTTCTAAGATGTTGTCTGTTGTTATTTCGACAGAGCGTGTAAGCTGGAGGTCCTGCAGCACGAGGTGGTATGGAACCTGGGGGAACATCTCCTGAATCTGATGAGCCTAGAGGGAGGCACACAAACCTCAGCAAGGGCCATGCCTGACATACTCACGGCTCAGCATCAGGGCAGGATCTGGGCACTGAGTCTGAGGCCACACTTTGAAAGCTCAGGCCTCTCCTGCTCTGCAGATCACATTGCAGTCTCTTCAACTGCTTTTCCAGAGTACCAAACAGATAGCTGGGGACAGCAATACATCTCAAACAAAGAGCCGTAGGGACCCTGACAGGCTCACATAAATGACAGCTGGGAGTGGTGAGACCACAGGGAAGAACGCTGTATGGGTGGGAAGTGGAGGAATGCTGCCTAGCATGTGGAAGGCCTGTATTCCATCCTTAGCTCTGCTCCAAACAAATAAACCAGTGGTTACCGGGGGCTGAGGGTGCAGTAAGGACATTAGTCCAAGAGGCACACCATGATCTGGAGGGAGGAAGAAAGGATTTGTTCTGATTTGGGTTTTTTTTTCTTTTTCTTTTTCTTCCAAGCTCAGGTCCACCAAGAAAACAATGTCAAAATCCAACACTACACATAATGGTTTTGAACCACAGCAAATAGAAGAAAGTCTTGGAAAAAAGCCAGAGGAAAAAGTCTAAGCAAAGATAGTAACTGCATCTACCTTCTAGTAAAAAAAAAAAAAAGAATCAAGTAAAATAGTTAAAAAATTGAGAGGAGGCTGAGAATGTGGCTTAGTGGTAGAATGCTTGCCTAGCATGCATGAAGCCCTGAGTTTGATTCCTCAGTACCACATAAACAGAAAAAGCCAGAAGTAGCACTGTGGCTCACATAGTAGAATGCTATCCTTGAACAAAAAAAGCTCAGGGACAGTGCTCAGGCTCCGAGTTCAAGCCCCAGGACTGGCAAAAAAAAAGAAAGAAAAAGAAAAAAGACTATCATTCATTCTTGTCAGTTATTCTGCAGAGATACCTTGGCCAAAATCAAGTTGTTTCAATGTAGGCTGAGATCACAATCATGTTCATTAAAGATTAGGTTATCTACTACAGAAATAAAACAAAAGGCAACTTCCAAACTAGTTTCCAATTTAAAAACACAAGGACTTGGAGGTGTGTTCAGAGGTAGAGAATGTGCTACGCATGAACAAGGCCTGGATTCAATCCCCTGTACCACCAAATAATTTAATTAAACATGAATTTAAGAGATACTGCGGAATTTTTTTTTAAATCCCCGGAAAATATGACCAACAAGGTCATATAACTGCACACGTTTCAGAGGTTTTCTTCTTTGCTAATTACTAACCAGTTCTCTTGTTCAGGTGGTTGACAGTCCTTACCATGGCATTAAGCTGGGAGTTGCTTGCCTGTGTGATGCCAAGAATGTTTGTAGTGTGCATCACTTCCACTGAAAAGCTCGGCAGCCAGCTTGCAATCCGGGACCCTTAAAACAAAAGACAGTTCAGCAAGCACAAGTGTTAAGAGTATGGGACCCCTGCCTCTCACCCCATGTTATCTAGTCAGTTTCTCTATAATCTCTAGAACACCACCTGAAATTCACTCAGGGATTATTTCATGTCTAGCTTTTTGTGTCAAATGTTTCGCACAGAATAGTTAATTTAGTTCTCATCTTCTAGTTTTATTCTTTGTCAGAGATATGGCACTAGTCCTCAGCTTGGGGTCTCTGGACCCCAAGGCACTTACAAGTTAGGTAATGCTGACAAGATCATATTTAATGATGGCAGCCAGGATATGAAGCCAGCCACACTGGGTTCTAGAATACTTACCACCTGCCTCTCCTGCTTCCTGGTAGCCCTTGATCCACTCAATCCCCAATCCATTCTGAGCCAGAATCTACGGCTGCTGCAGCAGATGAGCCCTGCCCTTCTCTTTGAGATGGACACAAATCTCTACCCACTGGGAGACGTGGTTTGCACAACTGCTTTCATGAAGTATTTCCTCCTTGATAGGCTGACTAAAAGATTGACCATGGTTTTTGGATTCCAAATTCTTTTCAACATAGGGTTGAACAACAACAAAGGCTGCTGCTTCTGTTATCTCCCCAAGGAAAGGGCAGACCAAGATATAAAGCCACCATGTACAGCCTGCAAAATTCAGTATCAAGCTGCACACGTAGGGGTGCTATTTTATTCCTTTACAAAGAATCACTGAGGCAAAAGGAATTATCACCAAATAAAATGTATGTATTTAAAAACATACACTTATTTCATGTAATATACTAGGGATTTGATCTATTTGCCTACATTTTCCTTGGAGATAATTCATAAATAATGGCTTACACAGCCAGGATCCATCTCTAAAATCTGTTAGTCGATTTCAGAAGTTGGACTTCAGAGAGGGCTTAATTTTTAACAATAGCACACGAGGGCTTTAAGCCCGTCCAGCACCTAGGCCCAGACAGCCAAGCCCCTCATCTACTCTACTCCTCTCAGAAGCTTGCCTCTGCTCCCTGTCCCTTTCAGTACTCCACCAACACACCACTACTCCAACCACTGCACCCTTGGAAACTCAAATCCAAGATCTGAACAGTACTGCTATAGCAAAATGCAGAGTTGGCTACTTTGCAGTAAGCTAGGAAGAGGAATTCACAGAAAGTCATAGTACAGGAATTGAAGGAACTCAACAACAGCTCAGTATATGTGAGTCAAGGAAAGATGACTGGTCCCTAGGAAGGTGTCCATGGCCTTAGCAGTGCACACTGGGTCACAGCTCTTCAGCACTGCCAGGAGGAAGCACATTCACATCTTATGGACCAACCAGCACTGCCCCAGCTCTGGTTCTGCCTCTGGAGCTCCTGAAAAGCTACTCAATGATCTTTCACTATTGTTTAAATGATTACTACTACAATCAGTTTGCAGCTCAGGATTACTATGAAACTGATTCATACTGACACAGAATCTAACAGAACTCCTAGGAAGGAACAACCTTTCAGCTCTGCCTATCCATCCAACATGCACAACTTCAATTCAATTGAAATATAAACTGAGAGGGATGGCACACACATATAATCCCAGCCCAAGGAGGTAGAGGCAGGAGGACTGTGAGTTCAAGGCTAGCCCTGGCTGCGTAGTTGAGACCTGGTTTCAAAAATAACAAATAGCTGGGTGCCAGTGGCTCATACCTACAAAAAACAGAGGTATGGCTCAAGCAGTAGAGCACTAACCTTGAGCAAAAAAGCTCAGGGACCATGCCCTGAGTTCAAGCCTCAGAACCAGCACAAGAAAGAAAAAAATAAATAATTGAAATGTAATATTAAGTTTATCTATGCAGGCAATTTATAATAAAGACAGCCATGTCTCATGTGAGAAAAGGCTGTGGGTGTGGTATTGGAAGGTGAAATCACTCACCATCGAAGTGGAAGAAGTGATTGTGCTGGTTTAAGCGAGGTCTGCCTTCCGCAGCTGCCACAGGAACCAAATTCTCATCCAGGTTCTCTCCTTGGTTGTCTTCCCTGGCACGGTTGTTGTCAGCAATATTAAGAGACATTCTGCATGTTGGACAGGAGGTGTCTTGTTCTAGCCAAGACCGAAGACAGGAGCTACCAAGAAAAAGTCCAAAGTACACAATGTGAACATCCTCTATTGACCCTCAGCATAATGTGGGGGAATTTACCGAAAGTATTCTAATATATCCAAGGTGTTCTCACTCGATTCACCGTTGAGAAACTGGATGTGACCTCTTTCCCCTATATCACCCTCGCATACTTAGCACATCCTGCTGTGAACAGTTTATCATACACAGCCATCTAAAAAGCTACCACATGGCTAACTGCCATTCTTTCCAACTCTGGTTTGTTATTTCAAAATCCATACGGCTGAATCATCCAACATCGCTGGCCTCTTTGACCCTGGAGTTCTCTATCAATGATCTTCTCTTTCATTGCTTTAGCTACTCACCAATGTGGTCATAACCTTGGCCTTGTTTTCAAAATCATGACTTCAGAAACTTCTCTGAGATGAGACCACCCACCTACTTTTCATCAAGCATGACAGCCTCATGGGCCACTCTCTAGTGAGGTGAACCATTTCCATACAGCCACTACTCTACTTGTTCTACCCTCTGCTCCCTGCTGTCCTTTTTCAAGAGGACAGAATGCCCTAGCTGTACTAGATGCTCAAGAGCCCCTGCAGTATCCACTAAGGGGAAGTGTGCTAGAACATGAAGTAGAAAGTACAAAGATCTGACCTCCCCAAATCAGTCACTAACTAACTGGCAAATCCTTCAACCTCTCTGGACCAGTCCTTTCAGCGAGGAAAGCAAGGAATAAGCAGGTTGCATGAAGTTTAAGGTTCCCTCCTTAGAGAATCATATGAAAATTTGTTGTCTTCTCCTAAGAACTCAGAAGGAACTAAATAAAAATGTCGTGTGTCTTTTTCTTAATATCAGTAACTAAGGGACTGCCTGGCAGAGTGGCTCAAGTGGTAGAGTGTGAGGCCAGCGCTGCTGAAACGAACAAGACTGTGCCTACCTGCACAGTGACAAAGGAGACCTTCGACCACATGATGACCCTCATAACAAGAACAATGCTCTAATAAGAACTGTTTTTCCTCTTTCTATGCATGATGTTCAATGCATTAAATAGCCACTGGACTCAGAAATCTCATAAAAAATACTTTCTAGAGCAACAAATTACGTAGTTATTAGCTATTGCCCATTAGAACCTCGGCATTTCTCTTTATTACAAATTAAAATAAGTTTGTCCTAGATTATTATCACACTATCCTCTCCGCACTGGATTATCAAAACTGTAAAGTGAAGCACTGTTAGGATGTCCTAACGACAGCTTGTCACTCAATGAAAGGCAGAAAAATGGTTTAAAATTAAGCTTACTTTAGTACCACCATTGGCTAAAAGAAATTGTTCAGAAAATTAGAAAATTTCTTAAGACAAATTAAAACAAAAGTATAACATTCTAAAACTTCTCACAAGAGAGAAAGCTCAGAGGCAAATTCATTTCTGAAAAAAAAAAGTGCTTTAAAAGGTCTCAAATCAACAACCTAACTTTATACCTACAGAGTAGGTATAAATCAACTTGGTAAGAGGCAGCCAGAAGGACTGGTAAGGGCTAGGGGGAGAGGAGGATAGGGATTCGCTGTCTAATGGGTACAGAGACTCGATTTGGAAAGATGAGGAAGTTCTGGAGATAGGTGGTGATGAGGTTCTAATCAACAATGTAAATAGCACTGGACTATAACTCTTATATTATGCATATTTTACTATAAAAATTACATTTCAAAATGACCACTGGAAAAAACAAACCATCACAATAATAAAAATGGTCACAATGAGATCCCACTCACACCATTAGGACTGCTACAGTAAGAAAACTTAAGCAGTATTAGTGAGAATGTGAAGATGAAAAGACAGGTATCACTGCTGTAGTAAACAGCATGGCAGCTCCTCAAGAAGGTAAACATTGGAGCTGAGAGAGGCTGGGAAGGTGGCTCAGTGGTAGAGCGCTTGCCTTGCATGCATGAGGCCCTGGGTTCGATTCCTCAGCACCACATAAGCAGAAAGAAAAAAGCCGGAAGTGACGCTGTGGCTCAAGTGGTAGAGTGCTAGCCTTGAGCTGAAGAGCTGAGGGACAGCGCCCAGGCCCAGAGTTCAGGCCCCACAACCAGACCCCCCCCCCAAAAAAAAAAAATTGGAGCTGAGGTTGTAGTTCAGTGGCAAAGCATCTGCCAAGCACTGAGAGAAGATAAAGAAGTTCAGCACAGAGAGTTGGTGTGATCCAGGAACTCTACTTCCAGGCATAAACAGATAGCAATTAAAAGCAGGTGCTCAGACACTTGTTTCCAAATTTCATAGCAGCAAATGGCCAAAAGGTGGAGAAATACTAAAAGTCCATCAACAGCAATTGCTATTATAAAATTACCTACATTTAGCCATAAGAAGGAATGAAGTATAGCTATGTGTTACAACTTGGTAACCTCATTGTGAAAGAAGTCAAGTTACAAAAGGTCATACATATATTGTGTGACTCCTTTTATATGAATTACCCATAAATCCATTGACAAAAAGCAAACAAGTAGTTGCCAGGGGTGGGGAGGGAAGGAACGGGGAACGAGGTACTATTCTAAGGTAAGGAAAAGTTTTGAAACTAGAGACAAGTATAGTTGCACAATATTGTTATACACCAAATTCCACTGAATTATACACCTTAAGATGGTTAGGTATATATTATTTGAATTTTGTCAGTCAAAAATAAAACCCTTGCTGGGTGCATAGTGTGCACCTTAGTCCAGATATTCAGAGAGGCGGAGGCACAAGATGGCCTGAGTTCAGACCAGCCTGGGAAAAACAGTGAAATCTGGTTTATAAGAAAATTTAAAAAATAATAAAAAATTTTAAACTAAAATTAAGCTAATCATATAGGTGAACATATTTTTTCTGGGCTAAAACATACTCTTATTCTTCCTAACTAGCTTCCAACCTCCTTTGGAACTAACTGAACCCAGTGTCAACAAAAGCATCACTAGATGGTAAGTGTACATACAGCAAAGGGAGAGCACGGTGCCTCCTTTAGTCCTCTCAGCTCTGTCCATTTCTCTCCACTGCACTTCCTGCACTGCAGATCCAGCTACTCTCAATGTGCCCCTGACCCATGCAAGCTGCAAGTCTTTTCTGCCAACCACTACTTAAAAGCTTTCAATGACACCCTCATCATATCTGTCATTTCCATCTTATCCCTAGTACCCCACACATGTCTATCAAATGTACATCTGGGGGCTGGGAAGTTGGCTCAGTGGTAGAACGCTTGCCTTGCATGCATGAGGCCCTGGGTTCGATTCCTCAGCACCACATAAGCAAAAATAAAAAAGCCGGAAGTGGCGCTGTGGCTCAAGTGGTAGAGTGCTAGCCTTGAGCTGAAGAGCTGAGGGACAGTGCCCAGGCCCAGAGTTCAGGCCCCAAAACTGGACCCAAAATAAATAAATAACAAAGGACTTCCACTCATCTGGTTGAATCACTACTAAATAATCCCATGCTGCTGATTACATATATGGTATATGTGTGCACACCAGAGGGAAACCAGGAAGACGACACAGAACTAGAGGGAATCAGGGAAAAACATAACAACAGTAGGACCCATCAGCTGCACTGGACATTGATCAAAATGAACTAAGCAACTCAATGGCAGTGATGGGAGGGAGGGAACAAGTGGGAAAGAGGGAACAGCTGATGCTATGCAAAATGAAAGAAATGTACATATCACCCAATGTGGAAGAAATAACTATTGCAAAGCTCATAGAACTCATAAATGTTATAGGCCACGATAGACAATTTGCCCCATGCAAGTTAGAATGTGTTTGTGACTTTACCTAATAAGCATCACTTTCCCACAATACTATGAAATTTGGGAAATTATGTAATCACTTAATCACAATAAAGAATTTGAAAAGAAAAAAAAGACACAATGAACACTGCCCTGCCCCAGGGTATAACTAATTTATGTATGCTAAGAAAAAATGGGGGGAAAGTCTGTTGCATTTGTCAAGTGGGTTATTCCAGCTCCCAAACCTTTCTAATATTATAAAAGAGAACAAAAACTACCTTAGATATCTAATAGGAAAACAAAGGTTGAAGATGTAAAAAATCAAAGGATCTCTCAATACATAAAACTGATTCAAAGGGTTAAAAGATAATCTCTAGCCCCATCAATAGCAAAACATCCAACACAGAATGATTTAGTCTAAACAGAGCCCCTCTAAGCTCTCTGGGACCTCCTCAAACCCAAAGGTTCAGAAAAGAGCCGAGTTTCCAATCCTTACTACAGGCACTATTCTAAACTCATTCATGAGCCTGGTCTGATGCCATCTCAGCCCACATCTCTGTGGTGTGTTTTATGCTGCCTTGGGGCATGTGAAAAATCCAAAAATATATATTCTCTCCTTAATTAGGTAACAGGTTGTTTGAAATCAAGATGTCCCCCTGAACCCTATTTCTTAAAATTTCCATCATATTTGTTATATTTTAGGTCTTCAAAAGAAGAAGACCTATGAAGACAACAAACCCAGAAATTAAGATGGCAAATGTGGGTTCCCACCATCCTGTGGAAATAGGGACAAGGATATGGATAAAGAAAGAGATGCAAAGGCTAGAAGCCAGCCCAACCAGTACAAGCAGACTGAGCTATTATTTCTGCTCCTCTGTTGGGCTCAGGCTCAAGCCTAGAAATAAAAGACCTCCACGCCCCAGGCTGAATCCTAGCCCCACATGGCCCTTCTCAGAGCTCCTACTTGTGAAAAAGATGGCCACAGGGCAGCTTCCTTGCAGCCTGCATGGAGTCCCAGCAAATTGCACAGTCGTCGTTATTGACCGCTAGCTCCTCTGGAGTTGCAACCGCAAACCTGTAAAACACAAAACAGGCCCAGCAGCGATCCCTGTCAGTTTCATGCACATGGACATATACTACTTCATATGCATCCCCGTTACAATGGACCAATTACAAAGCAATCTTGATCAGGAAAAAACAATTTTTGTTTCTTTTTCAGAGCCCTTAAAGAGCAAGTGAGAAACTCATACACAAAATCTGTCATAATATTGGTTCCTGTTAGAGATGACTGCAAGGAACATTTCTCCTCTAAACCCCAGTGATCCACTTCACTTTACCCTCTAGAAATACAAAGGATGTCCATTAATCTTGCACCCTCAGACTCAGGTTGGCAAGTAAGCATCTTCAGTGAGTGTGAGCACATAGAGAAACATACAAGTCTGAAGAAACTGAGGGCAGAAGCCCAGAGAAACTTCCATTAATATTGATAATGATAGGATGACACAACAATAAGATCTTAATATCTTGTGGATCCCTCCCCACAGTGCCAGAAGGCTCTCGTTATTTCAGAGAAGGAGCTAGGGTGTTAATGTGTTAATAAACTGCTACACATCACACAGCAACAGAGTGGGAACACGCCAAGGCAGTGTGACTCTGGAGTCTCTTCACCACCCAGTTAACAGGTTACAAAGTCACATTCTTACACAGGCTACGGATTGTCATTATTGAAGAACTAAATGAGTACATTTGAGCAACTTCTATTTGTACTCCCTTACCTGGCTTCCATGTTTCCCACCACACGCAAATAGTTCTTGTGCCGACGGATTCGACGCTGTACTTCATGGAACAGATAACGCAGCTGCATAAAGATGACCAGGCTGGCCATGGATAACCAGATGTTGCCAAATAACTTGGAAAGGAAAAAAGATAACATCTACAGTAAAAATGAAGTGAATCTGCTAGTGTCATCTTTTCAGCAAAAGAAGCCTTTGTTTGGTAGAAGTGGAATGAACGACCTTTCAGAAACCACTTGCATACTTCAAACTAAATGGCCCATTAAAGACTAATTTTCCTGAGCAAACAGAAATGTAAAGCCAGACAATTACACACACACACAAATATATATATTTTTTTTTAATTTTTTAAAAAATTACTGGTTGCACACACCAGTGATCAACAGAGGATGAGGCAAGATCACCATTTCAAGACCAGCCTGGTTACACCTGGGGCTGGAGGTGGTGCTCAGCTAGTAGAGTGCCAGGGAGTGAAAGTGTCAGGAACAAAGTTCAAATCCTAGTCTTGGACTCCTCCTCCCCACCCCCCCACCCGCCCCTGTCCCTGCCAAAAAAAAGCAAGTATGAAAATGAGCCAAGATAGCCGGGCACTGGTGGCTCATGTCTGTAATACTAGCTACTCAGGAGGCTGAGATTTGAGGATCACAGTTCAAAGCCAGCCCGAGCAGGAAAGTCTATGAGACTCTTATCTCCAATAAACCATTCGAAAACCGGAAGTGGCGCTGTGGCTCAAGCGGTAGAACGCTAGCCTTGAGCTGAAGAACTGAGGGACAGCACCCAAGCCCAAAATTCAAGCCCCATGACCGACAAAAAAAAAAAAGAAAGAAAGTGAGCAAGACGCCCATCAGAAGAATTAAGTTGCAATTTCCTATAAAGTAATTTATAGTCACAAGCTATGTTTATTAATGTTATTGTTGGGCACTGGTGGCTCACTTCTGCAATCCTAGCTATTCAAAAGGCTAAGATTTGAGGATTATGGTTCAAAGCCAGCCCTGGCAAGAAAATCCTGAGATTCTCAGCTCCAATTAACTACCAAAAAGGCAGAAAATGGTGCTATGACTCAAAGTAATATAGCCTTGGGACAGTGCCGGGGCCATGAGTTCAAGCTCCAGAACTGACACCAAAATAAATATTTGTGTTATATTTCTACATATGACTTTTGCATGTCAATTATCTAGGAAAATAGTATTTATTGAGTGAAAAAAAGTATAACTACCTTAAGGAAACTAATATGCAACTTTTAAAAATTATGTAGTTATGCTGAGCACCAGCGGCTCATACCTGTAATATCAGCCTCAGGAGACTGAGATCAGAGGATCACGGTTCAAAGCCAGCCCGGGCAGGAAAGTCCAGTATCAGAACCATTTAAAAAGACAGGGTCATTAGCCGCCAGTGGCTTACGCCTGTAATCCTAGCTACTCAGGAGGCTGAGATCTGAGGACCACAGTTCAAAGCCAGTCCAGGCAGGAAAGTCCGTGAGACTCTTATCTCCAATAAACCACTAAAAAACTGGAAGTGGCACTGTGGCTCAAGCAGTAGAGCGCTCGCCTTGCGCTGAAGAGCTGAAGAATAGCGCCAGGCCCAGAGTTCAAGACCCATGACCAACAACAACAACAAAAAAGACAGGGTCTCACTTCCTGCCTGGCTGTGCTCATGGGTGCAATCTGCCTGTTAGGCTTCTTCTAGATAGAATAACAGGCACATGACATCTTGCCTAGCTCTCTCTTCATTTGAGAAGGGGTCTCGTGAGTTTTTTCTGCCAGGATGGTCTTGAACCTCAATCCTCTCAAACTCAGTCTCCCAAGCATCTAGGATTGCAGTGATGAGCCTCTGGCACTAGGCTACATGTGACTCTATAAGTGTCTTCCCCTAAGTTTAAACATCAATGTCTCTGGTCCATTTTGAACTGGTTTTTGTTCAGGAAAAGAGATCTGGGTCTACTTGCAGTCATCTCTATGTGGATATCCAGGCTTCCCAAAGAGGCTGTCTTTTCTCCAAGATACGCTTTGGTCTTCTATTCTATTAGGGTACATGTCTGGGTTTTTTTGTTTTTGTTTTGTTTTGGTTGTGGGGCTTGAATTCGGGGCCTGGGTGCTGTCCCTGTGCTCTTCAGCTCAATGCTAGCATTCTACCGCTTGAGCCACCACTCCACTTCCAGTTTTCTAGTGGCTTATTGGACATAAAGAGTCTCACGAACTCTCCTGCCCAGGCTGGCTTTGAACTGTGATCCTTAAGCCTCCTAAGTAGCTAGGATTATCGGTGTGAGCCACCAGCATCCGGCTTACATGTCTGTTTTTGTGCCAGTTCCATGTTGGTTTTTGTTCCCGTGGCTCTGCAGTGTAATTTAAAATCAGTTATCATGGTACCTCTAGCACTGCTCTTTTTGCTCAGAATTGCCTTGGCTATTGTAACACAATACTTAAAGGTGTTACTTCAATTTCCTTATAGTGTAAAAAAAAAAAGTGCTCATCCACTATGTTGATTCTCCTCACCAACGAAGCATATTTACACTAAAATTTCTTACACACTAAGGGAAAGTAGTAAGAATTAAGCATAAGGACTAATTTCAAAGATGGAAATTTATGAATCTATGAAGCAGCAAATACTTCAGGAATTCCATTTACCCTACAAAGTAATTGCTAAATATGAGAAGCCACAGAAACTACAGGGAGAGGTACTCCCTTTAATTTCATGCTAAAAGAATGAACTACTGACTCAGCAGAGTTCACTGAGTCTCATAGGACAGCAGTCACCTCCAGAGCTAGAATCCAGCACAAGTGGTCCCAAGACACTGCTCTATGCCCACTGAGAAAAAGAGGAATGAGGCCTGATCACATTTTAGGTTGTTCATCTGCATCTACTCCACTATCATTTCATTTTTCAATTGTTCTGACGTGAAACACCTTAGCCCTCTGTCAGAGCTCTTTCTGAGAGCACTTACCAACATGTGAATGTGGTGCATGAGATCCAGGGACAAGAGAGTGAGCTCCATAACAAAATCGGTATAATAGACATAGGTCCCCTTTCCTTCCCAGGTCCCTTCATGGTTGAGGTCCCAGAGGTGAATTACATATCTGCAATACAGAGGGAGAAAAAGAGAAAAGCAGCTTAATCCATCATGACTGAATTTAAACTTCCTATAGTTAGTCATCATTTTATATTTTATACCTGTTATATCTTAGTATCAACTGAATAAAGCCATTCTCAATCACCTCTTTCTAAAGTTTCTACTCACCTTAAAATCACATGAGCTGTCCTGACTGTCACAAGAAGAGACTGTAAAACACAAACATTTCTCAGTTCAATTAAAAAACTAACTGTTCAAATATATCAACCATTTATTTTCTCTATTTGAATTTCTCATAGAATATTTTCATAATTTAGGAACTTGCTATTGAGCTTTTCATAGTTAATAGGTGACAACCTATTCTACCTGTCCAACTGTTAGGGAGGGCTTCAACAATCTTGCAGTTCACCTGAGTAGTTTAACAATAAATTCTACTGATATAACACTGCATCACCATAACTTAAAAGGTGTCTGACTACATAGTGACACTTTTTTTTTTTTTTTTTTTGGTCCGGTCGTGGGGCCTGAACTCTGGGGCTGGGCGCTGTCCCTCAGTTCTTCATCTCAAGGCTAGTGCTCTACCAGTTGAGCCACAGCGCCACTTCTTGCTTTTTTTCTTTTTGCTTATGTGGTGCTGAGGAATCGAACCCAGGGCCTCGAGCATGCAAGGCAAGCGCTCTACCACTGAGCCACCTTCCCAGCCCTACATAGTGACACTTTAACTCAAAGTATACTTTAGGTATCACTGTCCTAAACCAGAGTCCCTGATCTGGCTACTCTGTACAGAAAGATTGAAGGAAATAAAAAACAAAACATGGCTCTCATGGTACTCTTTAGCACAGAAGTTAATGTACAGGGGCTGGGAAGGTGAGGTGGCTCAGCGGTAGAGTGCTTGCCTCACATGCATGCTTGCCCCACATGCATTGATTCCTCGGCACCACATAAGCAGAAAAAGCCCGAAGTGCTGCTGTGGCTCAAGTGGCTCAGCCTTGAGCTGAAGAGCTGAGGGACAGTACCCAATGTCCAGAGTTCAGGCCCCACAACCGACCCCCCCCAAAATTAATGTACAGAAAAATTTCCCCTTAATTTGTAAAAATAGAACTGCTTTTATGTTTGAGATTTAACAATTATTTATATAGAGAATATTTTACATGAGAAAAATACCAGAATATATATATATATATATATATATACACACACACACAGAATATATATACAAAATACAGAATATATGCAGCATGATAATTTTTTTGTTATTATGAAGGTGATGTAAAAGGGATTACAGTAACATAAAAGTCAGGTAATGAGTATATTTTGTTTTAGACAATGTCAATCCTTTTCTCACTCTCTCCCAGTTTTTCTCTCCCATTCCCACCCACAAGTTGTGTAGTTTATTTTCAACACAGTGTCTAGTGTCTGCTGCATTTGTTCACCCTTTGTCTCTCCATTTGTGTGCCTCCCCCTTACCTTCCCAAAGACACACAAACAAAGAAGACAAAAAGAAAACAAAAATAATAACAAAGAAAAAACCTTTTGTTTCCATTCCCCGGGATTTATTTCACTATGTACTATTTTATATGACCAGAGGCACATAGGCCTTGTACCTTTGTGCTCCTCCCCTAAGAGACTCACTGTGTGTGAATGCCTACGGTCTATACAATGCATGATAAATAATTCCAAATGAACAAATATGACCTGAAATAAAACTAACACTATAGTCTGAACAAATAGACCTAATTTAAATCTGCTTGATTTTTAGGTATATCTTTTTCAAAGTTCAGCCTAATATTAACTGAAAATTTGATTTTAAAAAAGTGCAAGTATCATAATAAAATATATGTGAAGCAAACTAAATAATGTAAATCTTAAATATAAGTAATATATACCTTTCACATTCAGAAGATAGTCAATTAGAATTGGATATGTTTTTTATTAAATAGTTATATGTTCCCTTTTAAATTCTACTTACACTATAGTGTACTATGAAATGAACACTACTAAGCAAAAATAAGTTTAAACCCTGATCTACCAACCCCAAATAGCAGTTTACATTTTTGTTATTTAAACTTGTTTTGATACTAGCTAATTAGCTTCAGTATATGTGATATAGTAGTTCCTCTTAAGCACCAGAGATATGCTCCAAGGCTCTCAATGGATACATAAAATTACAGCTACTACTACACCCTGGCCCAACACAGTTAACCTGCCTTCCACGTTCCATGCCTGGCGTCTCCTTTATCACCATTCTTGTATGATGGGGTCACTATCAGGTTTAAGAAGGGTTATTTGAACACAAGCACTAGGATCCCACAGTATGTCATCTGACAGATAAGGGGTGAGGAGCACCTTAAACATGGAGACACTGGGCAGAGATAATTCTAGGTCTAAATGACAAGGCACAAGATTTCATCATTCTACTCAGAATGGTTCAGAGCTAAGTGTGCAAGTCAAGTGGCAGAGTATTGCAGCCTGGGTTCAATCCCAGGACCAAAGCAAAAAAAAAAACAAAACCTTAAGAACTGTTCATTTCAAGAATTTTTCCACTTAATACTTTTAGCCATCAGCTGGCTGCAGATAAGTGAGACTGCAGAAAGGGGAAGCTACTGCATCTCACGTTTTTAAATAATAACATTTATGGGTAAAGTAATCTTTGACCTGAGGAAAATGCAAATATAAAGTGAACATAAAGACATTCTCAAATGAGCATTTTCTGGAAGATTTAAAAGATTTTTGTACTGATCCTGACTTTGAACTAAGTGCCTAGACACTGTCGTTGAACTAGTGTTCAAGGCTAGCACTCTTATCACTTGAGACACACCTCCACTTCTGGCTTTTTGGTGGAGAGAAGTGTCTTATGGACTTTTCTGCCCAAGCTGGCTTCAAACCATGATACTCAGATCGCAGCCTCCTGAGAAAAAGTACATTTTAAAAAAAAGTTATAAATCAAGAGAGTTGAGGTACAACTCATGGCAAAGTATTTGCCTCACATGCTACTCTCTGGATTTCATCCCTGGCTCTAAAAAATCCTTCAAAATAATATAACTGGCATATTAATTATTATATAACATTTTATTTTATACTCTAGCTTAAAAACCAAATTAGCTATTTTACACGTAATCACTAGCAAGATACTACTTTTCTTGTATACTCTTCCTACTTGGCAGGCAGGCAGGCAGGCACACAGAGGGCTCAGCTGGTGACATCCCACACTCTGGAACCTCACACAATGCACTTTAGATTACTTCAGGGTCTGCCACCCCCACCCCCATAAGTAGAAATAATATAATTATCAATATGTATGGAATACTTAGAACAATCTGGCAAATAGTAACTATAACTACTACATAATTTGGAAGGAAAATTCTTTTTATTATGCTATAACAAGAATTAATAGCAGTTTACAACACACACACACACATACACACACACACACAGAGAAACTCAAATCCTTGTTAAAACGAAACACTAATACCCATCCATCACTTTATGGTGAAATAGTCTGTCAGGAACCCTTTAGCTGACATGAAGCCTGAAGCTGAACAAGCCTACGTCCGACATCTCACCTCTGCAGCCATGAAAGCCAGGGTGTGCATGCCATGGGTGTAGCCCGTGACACAGCAGACAACCGCCAGTCCACAGCAGGAAAGCAGCATGGCAATCAACAGAGACAGGACACGCCCATGGCTGCTCATTGGTGTGGTGGGAGAAAAGGAAAGCTGAAAGGGAAAATGGACAGAAAGTTCATTTCTTCTTCATGGCAGTGGTAGGGAAGGAGAATGCCAGGTCGAGCTAGGCATCTTTGCTTGGGGCCCTGTGCTAGCACACAGGAAGCTGCCTGTTACCATATAGACAAAACTCGCCAATAACTAAATGTGAGTACAGGTGGCTAATATTGGCAAATCTTTATCATTTCATTGACCAGGTTTAATAATGTGTTATTTTCATCTCATCTTCCCAAAGGGTGCTCCTACAACTAGGCTTACAAGCGATTTTTCAAGGTCCACATTTCTCTCTTCTAACATTAAACAGGACTCAGCAGGACTGTATGTTTCCTTCTTAATCTCACTCTAATCTTCCCCAAAATTCACTTGGAGGCTGCTCCTGGTCTGTCAGAACTAGAACAAGTAAAATATAAGCAGGTGTAGAGTTACTACTGACAGTATGTCAGTGTTATGCAAGGAGCAGCAACAGCATGAAAAGAAGACCTGGAGCTGTGACTCCTGAGGTAAATTACAAACCAGTTAGGGAAGTTAGAAACTCCTATTTGTGACAGAGAATGGCAGCTGAATGGGGAAAGGAAAAAAGTCTTTACAGATGAGATTAACTCACAGAGGGGTCCAAAAACTGTCTGGTACATGAAGACGGGGCAAAGACGGTGTTCAAGTCCCTGTAGTTAGTTCAACTGAGGTAGAACAGCAGGTGCATGTGTAGGTGGGACCCACAAGATATGCCTGAACACTCATTAGGGGAGGGCTCATTTCCACAGCTCTGGCCTACAGGCAGAGGCAAACCTTGTATCCAGATCAGGGAAAGTAAAAGAGCTAATTACACCTGGCTCACAGGGAAAATTGTATAAAATAGTAAGAAAGAAAAGCTCCAACAGGGGAAGAGACTAGAACAGATAATACACAGAAGAGACAAGATTTTCTTATATATAGCAAGGCTTCCTTGTGTAGGTAAACTGACCTTGCCAGGGCTATGAGGCACGTAACTCACTAGGGGCTGCCCAGATGTCCCTAGACCTCCAGACTTCCCCTCAGAGCTAGACAAAGTGCCTACCTTCTTCACATTACACAAACCCAAACCTCGCAAATGTGTAGCCGAGCACGCCGAGCTTGCCTGAGACTCACATATTCAAATCGGTCCTTGCAGAGCTGAACCATCAGATGAAGGAAAACCAGACCAGCAAACCAGAGGCACCACATCACTACCTCTTCCACAGTCTGGACATTCAGCACACCAAAAATGAAAATGAACTTGTAGAAAATAAAATTCCAAAACTTGTCTTTGAGGTGCTAAAAGGAAAAATTATTTACAACAGTAAGTATCATCATACCTAATACAGTTAAGAAAGTTAGCAATAGCAAGCTTATATGAAATAGTCTATTTCACTTTGAACATTTGTGCAAAAGAAAGTAGAAGGTCACCGGGTAGCAGTGACTCATGTCTGTAGTCATAGCTACTCAGGAGGCTGAGATCTGAGGATCACAGTTCCAAGCCAGCCTGGGCAGGAAAGTCTGTGAGACTCTTATCTCCAACAAACTACTCAGAAAAAGCCAGAAGCGGCACTGTGACTCAAGTGTCGTAGAATGTTAGTGTTGAGCAAAAGAGGCTCAGGGACACAGCCCAGGCCCAGGTTGCTCCACAACCAACAACAAAAAAAAAAAAGGAGGCAAAGGAATAAAAATGTGTTTTCTAAAGAACAGAGCTGAGATATCTAGCAAGTAATCATAAACTTTGGATTATAACTCTGGATCAACTGTGAGATTTTAAAAAAGACTGTGAGATTTAAAAAGATAGTGTTTTCCAGACACCAATAACTCACTTCTATAATCCTAGCTACTCAAGAGGTTGAGATTCAAGGAATGAAGCTTAAAGCCAGCCTGGGTAGATAAATTCACATTCTCTTATCTCCAATTAGCCACCTGAAGTAGAACTATGAAATAGAGCTATGGCTTAAGTGGTAGAATGGCAGGTGGGGGGAAAAAAGTCAATTGAGCACTGGTGGCTCATGCCTATAATCCTAACCACTCAGGAGGCAGAGATCTGAGAATCATTGTTCAAAGCCAGCCCAGGCAGAAAAGTCCCCATGAGACTCTTACCTCTAATTAACCACTCAAAAACCAGAAGTAGAACTGTGGTTCAAAGTGGTAGAGCGCTCGTCTTGAACAAAAGGAGCTCAGGGACAGTTCCCAGGCCCTGAATTCAAGCCCCACAACCACCAAAAAAAAAGCTGATCAAAAGCATGAAGCCCTGAATTCAAGATTCAGTACTGATGCATGCACATGCATGTGTGTGTGCACACACATACACAGTACTAGTACTGGGCAACTAGTACTGAGGCATGCAGTAGAGGTGGGTAAGCTCTACCAGATATTAACATACACAATTACCCACTCATTTATGGGGTGAGGAGAAACTAGCTAAGAATGGAAGTGTAATGTCTAAGTATATTTTTATGCATGATAATGTATAAAATGTTTTAAAGCATATGTCTTTAAAAAAAAAGCAAAATGTGAAAATAAATTGATCCTAAATGTGCAACAAACTGGCTTGATTACTTAACAGCACCCAGGCCCAGAGTTCAAGCCCCACGACTGACAAAAAACAAACAAACAAGAATTACTGCTTCATTGCATACCTTGTGTTCAGAAACTAAACCAGAGGGAGACCAAAGCATATCCCCTAATGCAGACACCCCGCAGCAACGAGCACAGACCTCCACACTACACACTGCTGTGTGGATCTGGGCTTCTGAACAACATCACCCAAGAAAAGCTTGGTGAATAGCTGTTTCCCTATCTGGGACAGGGACAGAATGGAATGAACTTAAGGACCCTTTGTGCCATGGTTTTCGATCTTGGCTCTGCTACCTGCCTATGTGTGACCTTGGGATAGTCATTCAACATCCCTGAGCTTTGGCTTCCCCATCCAGAAAATGGGTTTTACATTAACTGCATAAAACTCATAGAATTCTGAGTATTAAAAAAGTAGTGGGTGTACAATGCTTCCTAATAGTACTGAGGTTGGAACTCAGGGCCTGGGGCTTGCTAGGTAGCCATCTACACTTCAGAATACAATAGGTGTTTTTTTAATTTTTTTAATTTTTATTTTTTGGGTCCAGTCGTGGGCCTGAGCACTGTCCCTCAGCTCTTCAGCTCAAGGCTAGCGCTCTACCACTTGAGCCACAGCACCACTTCTGGCTTTTTTTTTCTGCTTATGTGGTGCTGAGGAATCGAACCCAGGGCCTCTGGCATGCAAGGCAAGTGCTCTACCACTGAGCCACCTTCCCAGCCCACTATACCAATTCTTTAGAGTTCTAACTCAAAACAGTTCTTAACAAATGTTCTTGAGTGTCATCCATCATAAAAGAAGCCAACATAGACCAACATAAAAGATGTTCTATTCTATTCTAAAAAACACTGAAATAGTAAAATTGGATAACAAACCCACTCATCATGATTATCTCTATGTACAGCAAAATTCTCTGCAATACTCTAAGGTTATATTTTCCGCTAATTTGGACCTGACACTACAGATATTAATGAAAACAAAGTATTTGACCTACTGGTACACAAATTGAAAATTAGAAGATAAAAGAGGCAAAATGTTAAGAAAAAAAAGCGAAAAACAAACAAGTATCCAAAAAGGAGTTTTGCACCTATAAAACTCTTCTGTGTTTCACTGAGCCCATCTAAGAGACCTCCAGAATTCACAGGTTGCACAAAGTGCTGAACATTCACTACTGAAGAATCCGGGACAACAAAGTCATCCTGCTCACAACAGCATTCAAGGGCTTAGCCACAGAGTAACCACATTCCAGCTCCTAACTAAACCTCAGTGGGTGGCTGCAGACCTGGGGGGAATGACAGATGGGAACACAGTACTTTGAAAATGCAGGGAAGCTGTCATACTTGTCGTCTCTGTCTTATCACTGACATAAGAAAAAGTAAAAACATTTTTGTTCTTAAGTGATTATGAAGGCCAGTTCTCAATTCTTTAAAACATGCCATTCTATAATCTACACTTACATCCTAGAATTGTCAATCTGGTAAACCTGGGGTATAACAGAGAACACTTCTTCCCCATTAATACATTTTAAGAGTAGTTCAGGTTCAATACTTAACAATCTCAACCAGTCACTGTAGAACAATGAACCTTAATTTACTTTTCCTACAAGAAAAATCAGAAATTTTCTCTAGGAAAGAATCCACATTCTAATTACTCATATTTACAATGATTCAAACTAAAATAAATCAGTGATTTTACAATTACATATAAGGGGCTGAAGATACAGCTTAATGGCAGAGTATGTGCTTAGCATGCTCCTAGCCCTGAATTCAATCCCAGAACCAAAAACAAATAAAGTGAAAATAAAAAATATACTTAAAAAAAAGTCATCGGGGAAATAACTATAGAAACCATATTGGGACAATTGGCTACACTGAACATGGGCTGTAGATCAAAGTGTTTTATCAATGTGAAATACTGCCGTACTGAATATGTCTTTGATTCCAGGAAATGTATCTTCAGGTCTCTGGGGGTAAAGAAAAGGACGTCCACTATTTAACTTTCAAATGTGGTAGAAAAAAAAATACGTGTTACATAAGTAAATAGTGAATATAAAGGCAAATGGGAGAAAACATTAGTAATTGGTGAACCTAGGCACAGGACACAATATAGTACTCATGGAATTTTCTCTATGCTTCAAATTATGCCAACTACAAAGTTCTTGAGGGTTTTTTTTTTCTTTTAAAATCTGGCCACAAGTGTCTACTATACAGGCTTACCTGTCTCTCACTCACTCGAAGAGGGCCAAACACAATACACTGGATGAGCTTAGCCACCAACATCAAAACACAGCAAGCAGTATTTACCAGAACCTGTACGCAAAACAGAGAAAGGAAGTTCAGTTCCTCCTGCTAAAAACCAAAAGCAGCTCTACAGATTTCATAAGAGGAATCCAGCCATCATTTCCAATGACTGAGCCTCCCTCCCCAGTTTCCACTGGAAGCTCAGGCCTATTCCAAGTCACCAGCTGACCAGCTCATTCAGTTCATTGTCCCAGTATGCACCCTCCAGTCGGCCACCTGACCTTTCAGTCCTGGCTGAACCCTATGTAAACTTTGTACTATCTGTATAGAGCAGGTGTGGTGGTGCACACATAATTCCAACACATTAGAGGCTAAAGCAGAAGAATCATGAATTGGAGGCCAGCCTGGACTATGGAGCAAAACCCTGTCTTAATAAATAATAAAAACCTTTTCTAGGATTCTGTCTAATTTACCTTATGTATGGTGTATTCACGTGTATATCTTCAGAAGGGTGGGGGGGAGCACAGAACTCAAGGGAAAAGGGGTGAAAATGCAGCAGCAGAGCCCACTGGACATTAATGAAAGTGAACTATATAACTTGTGGGTAGAGATTGGAGGGAGAGACTGAGAATGAGTGAACAGAAGATACTGTATGAAAGGAAATGTACTCATTACCTGATTCATGTAATTGTAACCCCTCTGTACATCACCTCTATGATAACAATAAAGTAAATTAATTAAAAAAATAATAAGCGATGTGTATGTATGCTGCAAATGGGAGGCACACTTCTTCCTATGTGAAGATGTTAAGAAAATTATTAAATTACTCTATTTATAAAAATGTCTTTATTTCACAAATATTATGTCATCCCAATAGGTATTCATGACTTCTCAACTTCAGCTCGCAAAGACTTGAGGCCCTGCAAACACTACAGGAAATTTAATTGTTGCAAACCTCATTTAAAAGCAAAACCCAAATTATATCCTTTATATTCTTGCAGAATCAAGAGTTCAGCCCTGATTTAAATCCACAGAACTCTCCGAGTTTGATCTCCTGCACTGCAAAATAAATTACTAATAAATCCACATACTGTGGGACAAATCTTGCTTATACTAATCATACTGAGGTTTGTGGCCTCAATACCTGAACCACCTCTATGTACTTAGGAGAGTAAAGAGAACTTATTTTATCAGCTCTATATAGCTGTGGGCAGAATTCAATTTTAAAATCTTAAGTTCACTTGAGCACTGTTAATAATAGCAGAAAAATTAAAACCACTGTCAACCCCAGAAGACTTATGTGGATAAATGGCAAATGGATTTAGTAGATACAAATGAGGCCAGTAAAACCTATATTACTAGTATGGCATGGAACTTTCAAGATAACTGGGATATCAAGATAAAATTTAAGACAAAAAAATGTAAGATGCATAGTTCATTTTCAAAACAGTGTCTAGTGAGTATCACTGCTACATTAGTTCACCCTCTGACCCACCCTTTCTGGGAGGGAAAAACTGGGCGAAGGGGAGGGAAGGGGTGACACTATTCAAAAAGTTATGTAACTGTAACCACCCTTCTGTACATCACTTTACAATAACAAGAAAAAATGTAAGATACAGAAATATGATTATGCCACACTTTGGGCAAAAAAAAAGAATATGTGTGTGTGCAATCTGCAGATGTGAACTATGTCAAAGACTAGGAAAAATCTCGATGTTTCTCTTCCTAAACACTAGCACTAATTACAAGAGGCTAATGAAAGTCACTTCGGTAGGAGGGAAGCAGGTGGCAGGAAGAGGGACATTTACTTTTCATTTTCTATCACTTTTGTTTCCTTTGACTTTCAAATTATTAGTTTGATCACCTGTTTTTAAATTAAGTTTTTGATGCTAAGAAACTATTCTGACCAGTTCTGCAATTCTACACTATTTTTCTCACCAAATGAAACAGATGAGTGACAAACCAAGGCTGCGGAGCTTAGGCCACAGTAACTGAGCTCCACACTTGGAGATAGAAGCCTTCAAAGGGATTGTTCACCTCCTTCATCTCACAGCAGGGCCACCCCCTCCCCCACCTCCAGCAGCCCCAGGCCTCCTTTTCACCCCTCAAACTCCCTCTCACATGAAGACAGCACGGATTTCTAATTGGGCAGCCCAGGGTAGGGATCTCACTGCAGATGAGGCCCCGGGTGAGGCCACCCTGCTATGCCAAATTGCATGGGGTGGTGGTGGGCAGGGGGGCGGGGGGGGGGGGAAGCTTGGGCTCCTCCTTATTTTCTAATCCTTCCTGGGCAGAATTCCTTTCTCCTTCCTCCAAATACCACCAAGTTTCATTTGTTCATCTATCATCACTCATTTTGCCTTATTTACATATGAGTCACTCTGAAGGTAGGGGAAAGTATTGTTCATAGCTCCTGAGAGCTGAAAATAGCACCTTTGGAAGGTTTCGGATTGAGTATTACTAATATAAAACCACCTGAGATGCTATCAGACCTGTATTATTCCAAGCTGTATTCTACAAAGGTAAGTTTTTTTAGAGACTTTAATATGTGAAATTAATAGCTAGCAGGATTTGCAAACTGACAGGAAGTATGTTTTTGCTCTGCCTTGCTTGGCCTTAGCACATGTTTTCGAAAACATTATCTGCAGGCCTATGAGAGAGGATCAAGGCCCTTCATTTTGACAAAGGCCCCGTACATGTTGACTCAGTAATTGTTGTCGGGCCACTGAGGAGTGGTTTTGAGATGACTTTTACTCAGCTGCTAAGGCAAAAACTATGTACTAGATGATAAAGAACATTTGCAAAGCACATATGGAACATCTGAGAACTGAGAAAGCCTAAGAGGGAAATGAACACATGAAAGTCCCAAAGGAAAGAAGAAAACCAGCAAGAAGCTCAACTGAGAAGCAAGCAGCTAGAGTCAGGAAGAAATGATCAACCTGCATGAGGTCAAGACTTCTGGGAAGAAAGTAGAAGTTTCTTAGAAATTGTATTTTCACAGGAAAATCAACTGTTTTATGAAGAGATAGTAACCTTGGAATTTGAACATGAGTTCTATATGAAGAACCTTCTAGGAAAAAAAAAATCACTGAGCGATATTAGTGGTTATTAGATGAATGTAACATTGGTCCTTTTCAAAGCCTTATTTATATCTTAGATAAAAAATAGTGAAAACTACATCATAAACTTTACATTTGACAAAAGCACTCTTTCACATGGTTTTAGTTTACTTGCTAATTCAAATGCAAAAGGTCTTGTAATTAACAAGAGATGTAAGTACTTTCTCTTCTCCCTTCTTTGGAACTAATGTGGTTTATCTTTACACAGAAATAGAGAAACAGACATTTCACTCTTCACTGCCTTCCTAAACTTTTCATGGGCTGGTGATGGTAGCTCATGCCTATAAATCCTTAGCTACTCAGGAGGCTGAGATCTGAGAATCCCAGTTCCAAGCAAGCCTGGGAAGGAAAGTCTGTAAGACTCTAATCTCCTATTAGCCACTAAGAAACCAGAAGTGGATCTGGGGCCCAAGTGCAAAAAATAGATAAGATGGCCCAGGCCCCCAGTTCAAGCTCCAGAACCAGGACACCAACACATACATACACACACACACACACACACACACACACGCCACTCTGCAAAGGAAGAGCATGAGACTTAATCCACAGCCCACAGGGTTCATAAATCCCACTGCTTCCTGATGAAGCACAGTGGGAATAATTATAACAAATGAGTTGCATATCATCCTATAAACTTGGAATATTAATCTCTCTGTCATTTACAGCCTACTCTCCACGACACCAAGGGGGAAATCGCAGAGGAAGGAGAAAAGATCCAAAAAGCAACAGTAATTCCAAGTGACAGACTTTAAATCCTGCAACAACTTTTCTGATGACTTGGTTTACAGAAGAATCCCCAGAGCACAGTGCAAGTAAAATTCTTTCAAACCAAACTACTGTAGATCTGGCCAGCTTTTGAAATGATCCAATAAGCACAAAACCAGTATTTAAGCCACGTCCAGGTGGCTGACCATGCACGGGCAAACGGAAAAACCTTGTTCTTGGTTTAAAAAAAAAAAAACCAAACTAATAACAAAACAACCACCTATCACCAAACGAAGAACAAGTGTAAAATAACTCAGGCTGCCTCTCGGACTCTGAAGGTTTTGCTGCCTTCAGAATCCCGAATCACCAGGTAAAAACACCGGCGGAGCAGGGAGCAGCTTTGCACCGCTCCGAGAGGATGAAACAACAAAACAATAACAGCGGTAATAATAATAACAGTGGGAGGGGGCCCCCCAAACTCCACCCTGATTTCCCCTCTCTATCCCGGGCCTGGGAATCCGGCTCCCAACATCCCCCCGCTGGGGCGGCCTGGGCTCCGCTACGCCCCGCTCCCGGGAGGCCGGCCTCCCCTCGGCCTCCCCACGGGGAGCGGGCCCGGCCCACCCCGCGCC